GGATTCAAGATGAACATGATTATTTGCTTGAGGGTAAAACAATAATTTTTCATCATTTAAATTAGAGCTATGTATTGCAACTCACTCATTTAAATAACATAAATGTCTTAAATCACAGTACATGTGAGGTCAGAATAGTTCTGGGTGTGTGCACCATTGCAACTCATAAAACCTATGTTTATAGTTCAGAATGATTAAAAATACATGTCTTACAGGCCGCTCACAAGAACTTTCTTCAGCACAAAGAAGTTTTTGGTAAGTACAATCCTATAGCTGATGTTTTAATTATAACTCACTGAGTATTCCTACTACAACTGTAAAAAGAAGACTTGTGTAACAAGATATATCTTGAGCAAACAGTGTTTGCATCTTTTGTTACAGAAATAGAACACACACCTTGATTTCCACAGGATGTCTCCATCATCAAGATAAAATTAGTCATACTAAGCATCAGGATGAAAGCAGAAGTAAAGCCTCTGAATCAGTGCATTTGGTACTGGTTCTTAGTATTCCTTTCAGGCCCCTTATAGATCCAACAGATCTGTTTCTTTTTCTCGGCAGCTTGATTAATAGCCAAGATATAGAAAGAATCTTGCACTTCAACTTGACTAAGCCATGCCCAGTTCTTGTTTTGTTCCAAAGGAACAAAACATATTCAGTGAAGGAAAAATAGAATATGTTAGAGAATGTAAAATGTTATACATAGGCTAACAGCAAAAAATGAAAAATGCTTTTAGGAAGTTTTCACTGAATCTTTAAACAGTATTGAAAGTAAGACACCCCATCCCAACACACAGTCTTTGAAAAGCCAAATCAGATTAAACATGGCTTGAAATAAAGAGAATCAATCTTTTGAAAAAGAACAGACAAATGTGTGGATAAATTTTCTGAGGCTCAGATATAGATTTATGTAACACAGCATTCAGTTCTGGAGCATACATCTCACAAATGAGTATGAACCACAGTCAAAAATAATCAATAGTAATTAAAAGAGAATGTGCGAGTTTGAAAAGAAAGGAAGCCAAAATCTTAGTCAGAGAAAACAAAAAAAAAAGGTTCTCTTTTCCAGCAGGGGAGGAAGGAAGGCAACAGAAGAGTCAGGGTAGCAGAGGCAACAGGAAGTTCAGAGGTATGAAGATCATAGGAAGAGGCAAGGTCTGTCAGACGCGCTTGGTATATGAAGGGAATGATGCACAACAGTAAACTGTTGGGGGAAAAGAGTAAAATGATAAAATTATAAATATTGCATAGGTCAGATAGCATGCTCAGTAACGTTAAAGAACCAGACACCCAAAGGATGTAGACACGTGTATTAATATCCAGAATCCAACAGATGCTCTGAGACGAACTCCCTGGGTTCATGCATGAGCTAACTCAATCCCAAAAGCACAACACACCTACTGATATGCAACATGTCTTTGAATTCTGCTTTACTTGGCTTGAATTTTCATTCTCCAGAAGGTACAAGATAGATGATGTAGGAGACTCAACTTCATTCTTTAGCCTTGGATCAGGCTGGATGATTAGATGGAGTGATGGTGGTGCTATAAGTCTCCCAAGTTAGTTACACTTTTAAGTTTTCTTGCTTTAAAGACCATCTCCAACAGAAAAGGCCAGGTCACTTCACAGATGCCTTCTAAGATAGTGCACTATGAGGGGCCAGCAAAATTACCTACTCAGCAGCCTACAGTTCTCAATTGATTTAGAACCACAGGTAAGAAAATGTAGTTTCCTGTCTATGAGTTTCTCTTCCTATTTTTGCTTCAAGTTAACGAAGTCCAACCCTTAGAAACTATCCCTAAGGACTGTGGAAGACTAGGTATATATCTAAGGTGACTGAAGAAATATGACTGAATTCCTTGTGAAATTGTCACAGCTTTTGTCAAGTGGATTGTATTACCTGTTAATATATCAAGGATACAGTGAAAAACATCAAAAATTAGATAGGAGGACAAGGCTTCTTTCTGTTAACCTGCTATTATCCTTCAACTAGTAGCAGACGTGTCATCTCTTCAAAACAACTGGTAAATGCTTATACCCACTCCTTCATCCTTTTCAGATTTTCTGGTTAAGTGATGATTGATTATTTTGATCCATAGCTAAAACCAAAGACATGGTCAAATCATGATTTCACTTCTTTAAAGACAGAGCACATTCTGAAATCTAAAAATCAAACAGTTGTCAAAACCTTACCCAGTGTGACCCTCAAGTTCACTAGCACTTTATCCAGTGTCAGAGTGAAAACTTTTTTAACTTCAGGATCTCACTCTATAAAAAGGTGAATTGTTTATTCTTTTTCAAAAAGCTTTTAATTTCTTAGTGCAGTTCTTAATGATAGTTCATAACAAGCGAAATAAAGGGCTAATCATGAGTTCACGGGAATATTGCATTTATTCTAATTAGTTAGTTGAAAACATTTCAAGGCAGCAGGTTTTAGTTGCTTGTCTAGGTGCAGCAATCTTCCAATATGTGCATTCTTTACCTGAGCTAAGTAGCACAGAGCTTACTATTAACTCACTTAGTGGGAACTTCACAAGCTATGAGACATAACCAAACACCATGCAACAGAGGTGACAATCTCCATTTCTGCATTCCCAAAGTGCAGTCAGTCTTAGAATCACACGTCATGAAAAATCCAATTAGTAAGACAGAGAAAGAGAAAGGATCCCATATCATTTTAGACATGTACACAACATGCAGCTAAAGGTCTACCAGACCAAAACTTAAGAGGAAAGGTCACGTAATGAGAATAAAAAGATTAAAGAGCAAAAACTGTGAGGAACATTTGTACTCCTTCTTTGTGGAAGAGACCCCTACTATTAGAGTCAGAAAAGCCCAAGTATCTTACTAAAGGCCCTATTCATGAATGACTTATACTCCATCGAAGTTTGGAAAACTCCACGAAGAGTGACTATCACCATCCTCTACGAAACCAAAGTTCCTCAACATGGGTTTCCCAGAGCACAGTGGGAGAACTGTGTGTTTGCTGGGAAGGAATGAGGGGTGAGGCATAATGCCCCACAGACAGTGGCAGATGGTAAGGAACAAGAACTTAAACTCCACACGATTACAGAATTTTAATTTCTGACTTGGAATTTCATTTTGTGAAAGACAAACTGCTGCTGACAGTCACCCACTCAGTGAAGGAAGACAGCAATCCTCATCTGAGAAAGCTGTTTTAAGAGTGATTTCAGAACAAACATGCCTTTCATCAACAGCTGGCATCAGCAGCTTATCCACTTTACCACCTTGTTCTACGAGAAAACACATTCACTGAGGTTGGTTAGGAAGATTGAAAATTGTTGTTCTTTGAATCTACCGCCAAAGTCCTATTTGCAGTGCTTGAGGCATTCTCAGGCAATAAAAAACATCATTGCAAAACTCTGTTCTTATACTGCTCAATCACTACAGTATCTAAGCACCTTTCAGAATGGCATTAGGCAATATAATTAGCATCTGTCACAGGTGCTGCTTTCTTTCATGGGTACATCTACACGCATTTCTCTTGTGTAAATCTATATACGTATCTTTATCTAGGTAGAGCACAGCGTAATTATAAAGCTCAACTTGTCCCTCTTCAACACTCACGCTTTAAGTCTAAGGTAAGTATTCACTAAGCACTATTCTTTTGCTCTTGGAGAATAACAAAAGCTCATGCTATGCTTCCATGTACAAGCTTCATCAAATCCTTTCAGCCGGGATATTGTGTTTAAGAGCAAATGATCAGGCCGATAAAATCAGGGCTGCATTGATTAAAGGGTATTTGATCACCAAAGTAGATCAGAAAAGCGTTGCAAAATAACAGTGGTAGAAACTCAAATGAAGTATAAATATTAATGCAAAGAAGGCCACAATGGATTTTTAATAAAGAAAATATTGTAGGGAAGCTGATGGTATCTAGCAAAAAAAAAAAAAAAAAAAAAAGAAAAAATTTGATGTATGATATGGTTTCTGTGCATATGTGAGTGAAAATGAATTAGGGTTAATACTCAATAAGATTCAGGTTTTCTGTTAGTATGATCTCCTTAATTTCCTTCTTTTCCCATCAATAAAACTGTCAATCTGAATTTCCTCAGCACAGATTTGAAAAATAATGCTACAGATTTAGTTGGTGTCCAACAACAAACACGCTAACATTAATGTAGCAGAGAACTGCTACCTGCAGATCAATTTTGGTAAAGAAAATGGCCTAGAAAAAGTTTTGTCAAATAATAGAGACATTTCTCTATCCCATGATTAGGAGACACCCTCCTGACCTTCAAAGGAAGCGTGTTCATGAGAAGCTGTAATGTGCAGAGTTCACTGCCTTTACAGGATCTACATGGGTGTGCAGGGCAAGCCCACGGGGAACACAATACATGATCAAAGACTTGGACTGTGTACAAAGATTTAAAGACAGTCGATGGATAGGCACGAAAAAGTAGCATGAAAACATGCTTTTCACAAATACACAAGGATGCGGAAAGTATTGTATTTCTTTGTCTGATAACTGTTATGCCGCAAGCAGTAGAACACACAAAGGACTATCCAGGGATGGCAAGGAAGATGTACCCATTAGGACAGAAAGGCCTTTAACAACACACACCTCCTGTAAATGCTTTAATTTTGCTAAGGGAAACACCCTGTAGCTGTCAACCTTGACTGATAGACCTATTGACTATAAAAGTCTGGAGAGACAGAAAACCAAACATGGACAATTAATACAAGAGAATGGAGTTTTACTTCCACCTGCACAAAATCACAAGGTTTGATGGTTGTTTTTAAATATTTCCATACAATGGCCAGGTATCATCTGAAAAACTGTCTCCAAACAAACGTTTTGGTTACTTTATATTAATTAGATACACTGCATTGGACATCTTAAAAGACAACAGGCTGGGAAAAAAGGGAAAAAACAAACATGTATGTCTAGAGAGCAGAGAGGAAAGTCTGGAAAAGCTACCCCTAACAGTAACCATCGAAAGAGTGGAAAATGCAAATACATGTATTTTCAAACATACGTTTAGGTACCAGCTCTGTTGGTGTTGTAACATCTGCTTCTCTGTAACACACTGTTGGATCCACAATGTCTCTGTCAGGAGGAGGGTAAGGTGGGGGTGGGGGGATCACTAAGTGGGGTGGACCCCGGGTGGTGCTAGCTCTAGGAGGCTTTTGTGGCACTTGCCGTCCATCACCTACAGGGGGATCAATTGACTAGTTACTTCATTGCAAGATAATGAATATTTAATTAATTTTCCTTATTTAACTGTTATTTTTATTGAAAATCATTATGTTTTAAACACACCTTGATTTTCCCTTACCCACATCCAAAATCTCTCTGGATCTAAACCTGTTCTTATTTACCCCCAAATAATTAAGGGAGAAGGAAAAGCCAGGTCTCTTTTAAACCAACAGCAACAGGACCAGAATTGAGACTGGGGCCTATATGTACATCACAACTAACAGTTAAATCACCAATTTTGGCAGACGTAAGGAAGGAGAAAAAAAGTTCAATTAAAAAAAAAAAAAGAAAAAAGCTATGTAAGGAAATGTGAAAATGTGGTTTATTTTTATCTTCTTAAGTGCCAAACTGCCTGAATTTGTTGACCTCTAGGATACTTCACATGACTATTTTCCCGACTCTTTGAGAGAAAGATACCTCAGGTCAGTATTTTGAAGTATCTTGACAAGTTTTTCTTTTTTCTGAGTAGGTTTTTTATTATTTTGACATTGTGAAGATGATTAAGTTGTTTTTTTGCAAAATAGTGTTTTAAGTTATCAAAAGAAATACTCATAACTTTGGCTGGGGGCTTATTTCAACACAATGTGCAACCACTAAATAAATTCTTCCAACTTTGCACCATACGATGCTAACCATTTGCAATGTTAAAAAGCTGCTGTTAGTTTCTAGTGTACAGACCTAGAGCTACTGCAATTTGGAAAGTCCTTAGATGCTGCAATTGAACTGAGGAACCATGACTACCTGCTCATTCTGCTCTCAGACGCTGCCTTAGGCGTCTGCTATTGTCACTGCTGAAAACCTCCGGTCTGATCCATTCTGGTCATTCCTATACTCTAAAGTTCATGCTCTCGTGCTGCTCAAAAGTAAAGTAGCACTGAGAGGGAAGAAAAAGGATTAAAACATTATGATTTTCTACTTAGGAGAAATAGCTTCCAGAAATTCTGGCAAATGTGCAGACTCTTTTTTACTGCTTTAAGAAAACTGGGCACAATAGTTCAGGGTCACAATAAGTGATTCAGTATTGAATACTGAAGTGAATTTGCCAGTTCGAGAGTATTTTTGGTAAGATCTTTCGCTTTGATTCATGTAGCTAACTTGGGAGATACATAGGTAGCTGTAATCCTTTTTCCATCATGCGTCTGCCTATTTCTTGCAGCACATTTTCCCTTCACTACAGTCTTGCTTTTTTTCACAGCTTTTCTCTCTTGCTTTCAGAGCCATCTGTGCTTTCTCATTGTTTTTTTGCAAGGACCCTGAAGAGAGGCTGTTTTACCAACCTTCCCTCGCTGTTAACATTTTTTTTTCTTGTTAATGAACGCATTCATTCAAGAAAGTAGCAGAAAATGTACAGAAAAAATACTGAAGATAGGGCTACTGTGGGAAAAGTTCTTTGTCAGTGTAAAATAATAAGGCTCCATTAAAGTAAATGATACTACAGAATCCTACATCAGCAGAGTCTGGCCAGCAAGCACTTATGTACACACTACTGAACGGACTAGAAGTGGCTCTGCTCTGCTTTATTTCATCTGTAACATACTGAGCATAGCTACAGAACAAAATGAACACTTACTAAAAGTTAAAGCACCAATGTCATTGCTAAGTGACCAGCAGTAGGGTAAAGCATGAGGAGCATCAGACTGACATTGGCAGTGGTTAAAAGTAAGCCAATTTGCCCAAAACTCCTGTGTTATATGGAACAGCAATAACACTCCCCTTAGAGGGTTTAAATAAGAGATGTCAATGGAGTCGAACATGTCACAAGATAATGGACTCCTGCTGCTACATAAATGCTGAGGCATTAAATGTGAGGCATTTTCTGAAAATAAATGTTGGAACAAAGCCAAGAGGTTTCTTTCTAAACTGTGAGGCATTTGTAATGTAAGCAATTATGTATGACAGGATGTCATATCTGTATGTCTTAGGCACTTTATGAAACATGAGGTCAAAGGCACGAACTGAAGTGCACTGAGTGCATTATGGCACTTGAAGAATGATTCTCTTAATGTACTGAAAAATGAGTTTCAATATGTGGGGTTATTATCTCATATCTTTACCCATCATAAAATCACTTTGTTTGCTAAAAGCATAATCTTGGGGTCCTCACTTGGGCAAAGCTCCCACCGATCTGAATAAACTAGCAGTCAGATAACAACAGAGGTCTGGGAGAACGTTTTTCAGTCTTCCTGGATGATAGTGAAAGGTGGTGTCATGGACAGCTGAAGGCTAGAGTTTCTTTTATCGTACCCAACCATGTAAAGCTTTCCTTTCAGAGCACCAGTTCTTTTCTTCTACTGATTAGCTAAAGACTCAGTAGAGATTGATTAGTTAAAAAAATGAGGACCGAATTCAAGAGAAAAAAACCTCACGGAATACGGTCAGTTGCTGTCAAACTGTTGGAGGACTCCAGGAAAAGAAAATGTCTTCAGGCCTTAAGAACACTAGGAGATACTGAATGAGATTGACTGTACTACTTACTATCCTAACAAAACTCCATGGCTTCAGCTGCATTTGTTATTGCCTGGCCTATCTCCATTTACTAGCATTTCCATTTACCATTTCCAAATTTCCATTTACTAGCAAAACCACCATGCAGAACAGGCCCAGGGCTAGTGCTTTTGGATATCCAGCTTGTACCAAACATTCAAATTATCTAATGAGTGTTATGTACCTTTTACTACCCTATGGTACTCTGGCACCAAACCCAAGAATTAAAAAAAGGTTGTAATATAAAAACTTTTATTTCCAGACTTTCATTCTGCAGAGAAATGTGGCTTTTTTTCCCCAAGTTACAAAAGTTTCTGAACTCACAGCGTAACAGAATTAAGGAAACTTCAAACACAGAGCACTGAAAGCACATGCATGTGATTACACAGGAGAAAAGAATGCCTCTCACCCATTGTGCTCTTCCTCTTGTCTTCCCTCTCTTCTGTCCTGTTTGGGATGGCAGGAGTGGGTGGAGCAGATGCAGTAGGTGGAAGAGGGGCACGCCTCTTCTTTTTCTGTAAATCGTTTAGGGATCCTCCTTGTGAAATCTAGCAAAGTTGAAATAGGCACAGTAAAGGATATGTTTTGTTGATGTAAACTGTTAGTAACAAAGGAAAAGTATTTGTCATAAGACCTAATTTCTGAGCACATTATATTTACAATGAGCATTTATAGTGACAACGAGAGATTAGAAAGAGGAGATATAGTAACATTGCGCTTGGAGAAGGAAAGGGACAAGAACTGCAGATGAATGCCCTAGCAATAGCACCAGTCTCGTAGACATTCGATGTTTGTGGTAAAAGAGAACTAGAGAGCCCAACACTCAGCAAGGCATAGAATGACACTACATCTGTTGTTAAGCTTGACCCATAGCATAGTCTTGTTTTTCCATTGGTTTCTTCAAACCTTAAATTATGGTTCAA